GCAGATAATGTTACCGGAAGTAAGAGCATTTTCGAGTGGTCACCCCTCCCCTACACGTGGTGTTTTGTCGTATGTCAGCGAGATTGTGATTTCTGATTCGTGATTCAGAAAACAGAAATGCGATTTCTGATTCGGGAAACGGAAATCCAAAATTCTGCATTCTCTCCTTCAAACTTGTATTTTCGCCCATGCAATATACCCAGGCAGTGCCGAAAAGTCAGTTTTCTGATTTCTAAAACAGGAATCTAAAATAACTCTTGTACAATTCCTGATTTCTGATTCCAATAATCAGGTTGGCCGCAAAGCATCCTGATTGCGACGATTGAAAAAGTTCTGTTTGGTGATCACGAAACTGTATCGAAACACCTTAAGTCCAAATAAATATTATTTTGTATTCTTTGAGTTGTGGAAGTTGATGGGATAATTAGATGGAAACCAGGTGGAATTCTTTACAATAAGTATATAAATATCCTAAATATCCATAGTTAATGATATACACTGCATTATTAATTGTCCATTTTTGATTACATCCCATTTTATTTTTTTCTTTATGAGGCATATATAAAAGTTGTGGTGTGAAATAAATAAAAAAACTATATTCCAAGAGATTTATTATTAAAAAAAACAAAACAAAACAACAACAACAAAAAAAAAACATTAGGAGTATGCTAAATGATTATACTGAAAGCTAAAATTGTACACACCTTTGGCCTGTGAAGCATCTGCTGAATTTCTTTTCATTCTCTTAGCAAGGATCTCCTCCATCTTTCTAATTAATCTCTGCTCCATTTCTTCCCACTCTTCAAGTGCTCCAATAAAATTCTTTTCCTCTTCAGGGTCCATTGTATCTATTTTCATCTTCTCAATCTCTGGTTTGTAATGAGGTCCACCCAGTCTCACCAACACATCTGAGATTTCACTCCAGTATTTCTCAAAATCACTGTAACTAACAACTGTTTCTGTGATGTGGCCATAAAGTTCATTTCTATAATATTTGACCCGAGCCAAATCAGCTTCTCTACTCAGGTCTGTAGCAACAGGAGGCTTGTCCCATCCTGTTGACGGAGGTGTTAAACCACATATATTACGCAGTAGAACAAATAACAGTGTGATGTCAAAATCTGCTGAAGTGACAGCTGTGCTTCGGCTAGCAGGATAGAGTCTGTCCCATTGTCGTTTGTTTAGAATCCTCTTTGCCCTCAGTCCATTTAGAGTAGAATGCACTGTTGTACTGAGTAGTGTCCTGTGAAGGGAGCTTGGTGAATGGATTGAGTCAAATACATCTCTTAAGGCACGTGTTCCACCATCAATCAATAACTTAGAAAGGCGTGCAAAGTTTAGATTTTCTTTACTTGAAGATGCCCAACTGGTTGCCATATCAGGTTTATCTCTGTTGAATAACAAGTTAAAAATAAACACTTTTGTTCCAGGAAAAAAGGTTGGGGAGGGGARGGTCAGTAAAGTTTTATTCAAGGAGTGAGGTCATGTGTGTATATGTCGACAAATTTTGTGATATGTCGTGAAATTTTTTTTAATGAATGTAGATGGATGATAATGACAATCAGCTTTTTTCACGCTCTGATCACGTGCACTTGTTTATTTTCACCATTCTTGTCAC